ATGACAACCATCCGGTCTTTTGCAGGCGTGGAACCACGTTGAACAGGCTTTAGATGTATTACACATGTATCATCATACGATGTAAATTATAAAATCATTTCAACACTGCGTCAAGGCAACGGAACTTGGCTATGGAAGAGATCGAGGGTCGCAGCTCAGAGAGGGATGGAGTTCAGCAGTGTTGTGTTGCCTGTACTTTCATTTTGTAAGATGGGTATCTGAGCGAGTCATTCCACATTTGCCGAACAATTGATTGTGGTGTGAGGGTCGACGACTCCACAGTGCCACAGTGCTGTAAGTAGTTTAGGGAAGCGTGTCTGTCGGGAAACTGAACGCGAGGCGGTTGCTCTTCATGGGGTATTTCCCAAAAGTTGGGCTTTCTCAAGTTCTCTCCTGACTCACCAGATACATGCAATACTGCGGGCCACCGAGAAATGTAAGTAAGGGCTTACACTGGGTGCTACCACCTTCCCTGGCCAGCCAGATCCAGCCAGACAGTCATCATGCCCCAATGATCTCACCAACAAGTTCCAATCAAGGGTAGTGCTGAACAACCCTAGGCTCTAGTGATTCTGCCGCCAAAGCCTCGCTACCTTCAGAATGGAGGGAGCAGCAACTGCTGTTGGTCGATTCTTCTTCATTTGCAGCACGACCGTCTGAGGAATGCGGAGCCTGCTGGTCTTTTTCTCTCATACAACAGCGTTTGCGGCAACATATGCTGGAGCATCTTGGCTATAGTTAAGCTTCCCTAAAGATCTAGGATGAATAGAAGCGTGAGCTATCCTGCGTCCATATGTAGTAGCTTGCTTGATCTTACTCGTAGGTACTAGCTACCTCAGTTCCTTAATTAAGTAGGCGCCTACTGGAGGGGGGAGCAGGCTTAAAAAAAAGTCTCTCACTTCACGCGGAGAACAATGCGCTTCTTGTGTCGGTTTCTGCACGCGTGCAGATTCTCAATGATATTTTGAAACATACAAACACATGTATAACTTAAGAGTTATTGTATACATTGGTTTTGGATAGTCCAATAATCAAGGTGGCGCTGATGCACGTTTCCTTCTTCGCCCAAAATGCTCTGTGCAGCTTGTACCATGATTGCAAAATGCTTGATTTGTTTGCTGTGACCGCCATCTGCAGGTTTGTTGCCTTGTTGTGTGAGGTGTTCAGAACCAGAAACTGTGTCAGGTTGGCCGTGGTAATCAATTTGCTCGGAGTTTTCCTTGCTTTTCGGTTCGCTGAGAGCCTCAGTTGCAGTGCTTCCGCTTCGAAGGACTCGGACTAAGCCATTCTGCATTGCCCCCTGGTCAGGCTTTTCACTTGCAGGGGCAAAATGGAAAAATTAGTCGACCTGTTCTTCGAAGCTGTGGATGATGCTGAGATTGATGACACTTGGCATGGACACTGAAAAATGACTATGTATACTCCCTGTTGCGTTGCTTGATGTTGTTTGACAAGTCCTGAGAACACTCTCCAGCCGACTTTGTAAGGTTCTTGGCTTGTCAGCTTCATATTTGTTGGTCTCCTGTTTGGCCTTCGGTATTACTGGCATGCAGAGCAACTTTGAACTCTACCAGATGCCGTCCTCCCTCAGTCTCAACAGGGCTTTGGCAATCTTTGCAAGTGGCTTGGCCATTCTGGCAACCTGGCCACGCAAGCGCTCAAGATGCTCTCACATCACCGGCAAGTCGTAGCGATAGCCTCCACCCTAGTAGCGATGACCTGCAACCTATATACTGTAAGAGCGATGGTCTCCAACCCAATAGCGATGGGTAATTAGTCCGTAGTGTATTTTTACATGTTAAAGAGCTTGCTGCCCCCTGAGGTACTCTCTGTCGTGCTTGTTGTCACATGGAGGAGAAAGCCAAACGAGACTGCTTGGCGAACCAAGGCCGCCGATGCACAACATCTCTTCCGCTGGTCCTCTAAGGATAATACTGAGGGATGAGACACAAGACATTGTTTTTGTTTGCCATTGCTGCCAGACCCGTGAACTTTCACAATCAGCACTTTCGTTGGTCTTCAGCTGGTGCGCTGTACGATCCGTCCAGTGGACCATCGTTGACTTGTGCAAGGACTGCTTTTGTCACGTCATACCTTTGTACCGCTTGCACAATTGCTGGCGTCGACACACCAATGCCGTTGTATGCAGATGCTTCTGATCGTCTTATCCGAATCCATTCGTAGTTGCGATTTGGGCAGAAGCAAGTGGTGACTTTGCTGCCGGCATCTCTTGTCGTGCTCCTCGCTTCCGAGTCTGAGCTGAAATTGACGAGAGAGGCAAGAACCAACAGGATGCATCTAAAAAAACCTGTTCCCTGCTAGTCAATAGTCAATGGTTTTGTCCTTGTATTAATCGAAATACTCTGTCTCAGTTAATTGTCTACCCTGTGTTAATTATTAATGACACCGAGTGCTTTTTGTTCCCTCTATTGAGGTACAGCTACAGAGTACTCAAGTCAAAGCCCTAAGTTACCTACTTCCAAGCCAAGGGTGGATACTCCTGCTCCACTGGTTCCAAGGTAAGGGAAAAAGGAACCAACAGTGACAGCGCTGGATAACTTGCAATAGAAGTCTTGTCTTCAAATGGTATTGCATCTTTGTGGCGCCGCAATTCAAGCTATCTTTGGAAGGTGCCCCCAGGATTCTGTTCAGAACGCATACTGGACTTCTGCAGAACCAGCAATGAGTCACTCAGATTCTGAACATCCAGTGGACAACTTTCTTTATGGGTGTGCACATGTGTGCACGAAATCCATGAGCTCTCCCAAAGATTGAGGCCGTTGTGGGGCGATTGCAGGTTGACATGAGATTCAACAAAGTTCTGTGACTATCACTCGGTATTGCAGTCTTCATCCATTTGTATCAATGCCACAAGGTTCGTCGAGATTAGACTGAACACTTAATCAATCCTTCGCTCTGAAAACCAAACGCTTGTGTCATTATAAATGGGGCCAAGCAACCCCCTCAAATTGGGGCCAAGCAACCCCCTCAATCTCTCATTCTTGCTTCGCCTCTCTTTCGCAGCAGTTTGCATCCGTTTGCAGCTGTTTTTGTCAATCAAGCATCCGAGGCTCTGACTATGTCTGCAGCATCGTTTGTTCTTATCCTCCCTTTGGACAAAATTGAAGATCGTGCGAGACTCAGTGGAGTCCTCATAGTGCACACAGTGCGCACCTCCACTTGCTTGAGTGCCAACATGTTCTTGAAGACTTTGTTGGTTCACATTAGGGGTACGAAGTCTTGGCGGAGCTGGGCGAATATTCAAGAGACTTGCTCGCAGTGATAATCCTGCTGAATTACCGACATGGACCGAGATGTATGGAAATTGCTTGTTTCTCGTTTCTTTTACTTTTCTGCAGGGATGTCATCATCGCTTTGGGAGTGGTTGTTGGCGTCTCTTGGGAGCCCGTTTTCAACAAGTCCGTTGCAGTGGCCGCTCATTCGTTGCTGGCCCTGCACATGATGCATCATGTCCAGGATTGTCCAGGGTTTACCAGCAGTCTAGATTCGATGTGTCTTGCACTTCTGCCTACACTGACCCGAGAGATCACCTTGACAACTTCAATTGATTTTTCGTTGCCCCAATCTATTGAACCGATGAGGTTTCCTTAGTTTTGAGGGGTGGGGGTACGTTTCCTCTTTTCCGACAAAGATCCTGCTGGCTGAAAGGTTTTCAAACCCACCAGTGGTTCGCCTTCTCTTGTCGGCGGCCATAGTGCTTTTGCTGCTTCCTGCATGGAAGAGGTTGGACCACATCGGAGTGTTGGATGGAAAAGGGTCAAAGTATAAAGAGCTCGAGGCCTTAAGATCTTGTAGCATTGCAGAAACATAGTTGCAAAGGAGGAGTTGTTTTTGGAATTTCCAGTCTGGTTGTTTGTATTTGCTGCAAAGCAGAGTGCAGCGTCTGCATCGGACATGCTTTCTTGCAAGAACATACAAGAACAGTATGTCATGGAAGACCACCTTGGTGAAAAAAATAGCGTTTGGTGTCTTGCAAAGTCACAAGCAGTCCTGTCGCAACCATTCCACCTCAGACCCACATTTTTTTGACCAGGTTTGTCCTCACGAAGCAAATCAGCTACACAGAAACGCGAAGTGAGCGACGGAGTGCCACGCCGGCAGAAGATGGAATTGAAGACACTGGAACCGTTGGAATTCCGGGAATGTTCATACTGAAACCGTCGGTGTGCATCTGTAAGGATAGAGCTAAAGGACTGGATAATAACCCACGGGAGGGCAGGGAGGGAGTGAGTGAGTGCAAGTGGGATGCACTTTAAAAGCAACAACTTCACCCAAAGATGTGAGCAAACCAAGCAACTTTATCGGAAAGACCAGCAAAGGAGTAGACCATGATTGGCGACTCACATTTGAACATTTCTGACCCACGGCAAGTGCGTGTTTTTCTTCAACCAGCTTTCTGGCTTTGTCTATGTCCATTCAGTATCGTGTACAGTCGGCATCACGTCGTTTTGTGTGACTCTGAGGCCGATCATACCTGACCAAAGACCAGGATGTTTTGAATCCACCACAGCCAGCAAACCCAGCATTTGCAATTGTTTCATGTGCTCAACATTTGAAGGGAGTTCCCTTCCAGCCAGCTTTTTGCATCCTTTTGTTCCTTCCCGGTTTTCCGTTCATACAATCGCTCCCAAGTTCCCTTACTCCAGCCTTCAACGTGAGGTCAAAACAAGAGTTTAGAGGCTGTGGCTTCGCGTGAGAGCTGACTGAAAATCTCACCATGTAACAAAGCACATCACAAAGTGGATGTAGGTGCCAAAGCTTGCACCGAATAACCGAGTTTGGTGGTTTCAGAACAATTTCGGAGATCATTGAACCAGTCAAGCACATCAAGCACATTGGAGTTGTTCCAATTGCTGGAAGATTGTCGGACCATGGCAAACGCCATGAGTCGTTTGTCCTTTTTTGAAAGTGAAGATGTGATTTGGATTCTGAGTTTCGTTCTTGGTTTGCGTGAGAACTCATCCCGATGTGTTCCTCGCAGCCTTCAGCTTCCCAAGTCTTCCAAGACGCTTTGTGGCCAACTAGGGATGGTGACCGCGAAGTGGGGAGTCGAGGAAGTTTCCAACTGGTTGGCGGAAGTTGGGTTTCCCCAGCTGGTCGATGGCTTCCGTGAACAAGGGGTGGATGGAGAGGTTCTTCTTGGGTTGACGCCGCCCAGTTGAGCTTGGTGATCCATGAAGTTCAAATGCGTCAGTTGTATCAACCCAGATACATTTGTTTCGGACTCAGGTTGGTGTTGTGTATGCTGTGCAACACGCTTAGATAAGGACTGAAGACCTGAAAGAGGAGTTCCAAATGAAGCTGGGTGAGCGGAAGAAACTCATTGACCGCATTGAGAACTTGAAGGAGAAGGCAGAGAAGGCCCGAATCGGCTCGATTTTCTTTGATACATCCGTATATAGAAGAATCTTTCTAGCACGACCACGTTGGCTGGTTGGCTGTCACAACCTGGGAGGACTTGTCCGCAAGCTCCACTGCGACGGATAGTCCCTTGGATGATGCAATCGTTTAATCTTGTCTGCAGTGTCCTTTGCAAAGACGTAACAAGAAGCTACTGGGAGCAAAGGCATCGCTGCTAGGAGCAAGGAACCCTACTAGGGGTGCTCCTGGCCTTACTACTAACTAGGAACGAGAAGCTATTAGGTTGGAGGCCATTGCTACATACAGAGCGAGACTCCTTGAAAGAAGCGAGACTCCTTGAAAGAAGTACAGCTAGGAGTCTCCTTCAGGTCAATTGAGTCTACCTTCCCCACCCAGTGAACCGAGCAGGCGCGTTCTGTGGGCAGAACATTGGCATTCTGCGCTCCGCGCCCTCCGCTCTTGACTCGAGGTGTGGGACTCCGGAGCTTGAGAAACTCTACTTGCTGGACGGCCGCAACATCGCTTGCCAAGGAGGCAAACACAAAGCCAAGCAGATGAGAGAAACAGGGTTGTAGCCGCAGCCCAACTGTGGAGATTGAAGTCTCAGTAAATCTTCAATATATAACACGTCTTTGCCAGGTGAAAGCCCTGACAGACCGAATTTGAAGAAGTTGAGCACGGCTATGAAGTGGCATATTGAACATCGGCCAGACTGGAAAGTGGAGACGTTTGTTTACCAGGCTGGCTGAGATTTCTACATATTTCTTTTGGCAGGGGTCGCAGCGGTCGCCAATGGATTTGCGAGCTTTGCCCAAGGCACTTATGGAGAAGTGGCAAAAGGACCACGCGGAAGACATGAAGGATCTTGCTCAGTGTCTGACTGTGACTCCAAGGCGGGAGGACGTGGACAAGTTCATCATCCGCAAAGCTGTGGATGCTGCCAAGAGCGGATGTCTCGTGAAGATTGTCTCCAACGACAATTTTCGGGAGTACATTGGCACGGTCAATGATTTTCACTTCTCAGAAGATTGGGTGCGGGAACATGTGCGAGACTTAGGGGCTCCTGGCCATACTACTAGGAACAAGAAGCTACTAGGGGCTCCTGGCCATACTATTTGTTTCACAGATTGGAGACGATTGGCTTTGATGCTGCAGTCCCGAGCTGTGGCCGTTCCCTTGCAAAAAACTACTTGGACAAGTGCTTGACTTTGAGGTCATCAAGTTTTGCTTCTCTGCGGGTTCTCAAGAGTTCATACCAGCTGATGGCTTTGGTACGGAGTTACCCTGTGAGCTTCAAACTGCAGAGCCAGAACCGTCTGTTCCAGAGAGGCCCAAGTCTTTGATCTTTGATTCCGCAAAGTGAAAGCTAGATAATTAGGATACTGTAGATCAAGTTATTTGCAGGTAGTAGGGCCAGGAGCTACTAGTAGCGTCCTTGCTCCTAGTAGCGATGCACGTTGCTACTGGTCCAATTAACTCCGAAGATCTGTGAAAGATGTCAGCAGGAACGTGGTCATCGACAAGGTTTGTCCACCTGGTTTACCAACGCTATTGACTGGCAGGGGTGCGAAGTTCCCATCTCCACTGCGCATTGCGCCAGGAGTTGAAGAGGCGGCCAGTGGGTTTGGTATGCCTTTGTTACAAAGCATGTCTGTCAAGTTAGCGGTCCATTTTGTGATGTTACTTGCGAGTGACTTTCAATGCTTATGTTGGCTTCTTCCTTAGGGAATCTGCTGAAGCTCAAAGGATCAAGGGGTAGTGGCATCCGATGTGACACTCTCAACCAAAATAGAGCAACATAGAGCCCTTCTGATTGAGACGTGGCAAAGAACATCTATGATTGTTGGTAGAATTTGGTAGGGTAAGATCGCCGCCCCCTTACCTTAGGTTGTTGAGGAGGGACCTAAAAACATGTAACTTACATGTATGGGGGCCCCCCATGAATGTAAGTTGGACCCCCCTACTTTTGCACCTATGGCTTTCCCGGTGGACACTTAACTTTTTTTTGCGAGTGATGTTGGCTGTCAGTGGTTCAGCAGGGCTTCCCCGGGTATTCACCGGTGAGTGCCCAGAGTTCAGGAGGGGGGGCAGGGGGTGGTAAAAGGACTTACCACCTAGGCACGTGGTAACTTACATTTTGCACACGTTTGAGGCGCGAAAACAGAAGTTAAACGCTGCTTTCAGCTTTTGAATTGCCACTGTGATATCTCGTGCTCACATCGGTGTGCTGGTGCAGGTGCTGGTGTGGCGTGCTGGTGCTGGTGTTTTGTGTGGGCGTGCTGGTGCTGGTGCGGGCGCTGGTGCTGGGTTTTCCACTGATCGACTGCGTTTGGGGACTTTGCATCGTTTCCCTTCATGGATGACATGGTGTCATGCCAGCGACATCATGTCATGCTAGGGATGAAATCATTGGATGACATCATTTCATGACAGGGGTGAAGTCATGTCATGCCAGGGATGACATCATGTCATGCCAGGGACAATATCCGCTCATATTGTGCATGTATTGCCTTGCGGTATGCATCGTTTCCCTTCATGGATGACATGGTGTCATGTCATGTCATGTCAGGGATGACATCATGTCATGCCAGGCACCGCTCATTGACACGGAACGCTATTAGACATTGGTTCTTTCTCTCAGGCACTATCACGCTTTTCCCTATACACCTGCTATCTGGGGTCTATGCCAGTGACATGGTATGGTTCTGGATTGGCGTTTTGCTGCGATGTGTTGGTATTGGTGTTTGTATGGGTGTTGGCGCGGGTGCTAGTGTTGAATCTTTTTTTTGGAACCATGCCATGGTGAAAGGAAACGACCCAAACGTAACACACTGGTGGATGGGTTCTTGAGCCATTTGTTGGTTTCCATTTTGGCTCAAGGACCTATTGCTTGGTGCCATGTACTTGGAGTGCTTTCTCTTGGTCGCTTTCGCGCTGGGCATGGTGTGCGGTGGCGGCTTCGACCCCGTGCTGCTAAAGTGGCTTTGACACCTCACCTGTTGGGGCCACAAGATTTCCAAGGTTTGAGTTATGGCGGCACGAAGTCTCTTGCGACAACATTGTTCGGGTTGTGACTTGGGCAGGTTTGGACCGTGCGGTTTGGGCCGTCTGGCCGTTTGATGGCCACGCTCCCCATGGGCACCTTGCATACTGCCACCTCTCGCACTCGAATTCCTGCAGCTGCGACTGTGCCTGAATGAGAGCTATATGCAGTAGAGATCATTCAGGTTGCATTGGTGCGGCGTGCTGCGAGGAAGACCTTTGCTCTGCCGGATGTTGACCCTCTAGTGGAAGATCCCTCAGTAGCAAGACCGGTCACATCCAACGCTGAGGCACCGAGAAGGTGAAGATGTCTTCGGCTGCTCTTGCCTGCACCCTCTACTTCCATCCCGTCTACACTGCCATGGCCCCGTCCCTGCTGCGTCCTCCAGCCCCTTAACATCCACATGGGGGTTCCACGTACGTAGCCGATGCAGCACACCGTGGAGTCACCATGCCCTCTGTCTGCCCCACCCCCTTCAATATCTCTAACGCTTACCCCATCCCTGCCCCCCCTCACATTGGGGATTCCACGTAGCCGATGCAGCACGCCTGCCCTACCACCTACTTCATCTCTTGCCTGCACCCTATACTGGCACCATGTCCCACTGCCACCCCGAGTAAACCTCCACACAGGGACCATAGGGACTCCGTTCCTGTGTCTCCCACTTCAATCGACTACAGATGTGGACCATGCAGGCCTACAGGAACTACCGTGAGCCAGTGGGAGCTGAACCGCTGCCAGAATCTGACCCATCCTTTGAACAAATCGCGGCAATGCGCGCAAAGGTGTTGGTCAGATTGGAGGCACCGTATGCCGACTTTTCGGTGCTCACTCCCTATGGCCGCAGGATGCAAAAGCAGGCCACGGCTCGCAACTTCCTTTTACAGCAGGATGGATCTTGGAAGTCTGTCGAAATTCAAGGACATCCAACATTCCAGGCCTGGTGTGCTTGCTGGAAGATTTACAAGACTGTCCTGCTGATGTTGAGCGCCCGGCGAACACGGCGCTGGGTAGACCTACGATTCCAGTCATGACAGTTGCTAGTACTTCAACAGGGTGTCGGACCTGCTTGACGAGTTCCCAGAAGCATGGCATTTAGTGATGCAAGCTGAGGATCGACGCTGAGGGGAACAGTTGGATCGATTTCACAGAGAGCTCACGCGGGCTAGGACAGAGGGCCGGCCCCCCATGAATCTGGACTTTGACCCCGGGCTGGTGTCATGCAGTTTGCTGCGCGCTGCCACAGAACAGTCGTCAGGCCGGCTCAGACATTCTTGGCCAGAGGTGGTGCTTTGTCGGCAAGTGGATGCAACATGACGCAGAAGGAGGCCGAGGAGTCGCAGATCAGTGATGCCGCGTCAGCTGCCATGCATAGAGCCCCAGGTGAAGGTACATCCAAAACGGCCAAGAGACGCCAGAGAGACAAAATTGAGAAGCTGCAGGAAGACAGTCGCCGTCAGAGGTTTGGCAATCCACCGTGGCTACAAAAAGGAAGTGCCACGTCCAGCGGAGATGGCGACGGTCATCCAAGGAAAGCAGGTCGTGAGTTCCAGACAGGACCAGTCGGATCCTGCAGTGAGCCCTGTCCGCAGCAGAGGACGCATTGCTGCCAATATTGCCTTGGTTCCCATCCTAACGCCCAGTGTCAGCAGAAGGGCGGCGGGAAGGGGAAGGGCAAGAAGGGCAACAAGAAGTGACAGGAAGAAGAGCCCCTGCCTATGGCAGATGAGGCATGGGCACGGGAAGATGCATGCTTGAATTTGGAGCCACGCAATGGAGCATGAATTTGAGCTGAGCCTGGTACAGCGCCCATTTAGATTTGGCGAGTTCTTTGCAAGTTTTGCAGGTTTCACAAGGACACTGGAAGAGCTAGATGCGATTGGCTTCCGCTGACTCTGGTTCTCCCCATCCTTCCAGATAGTCATCCGATCTCAAAGCCTTGGCAACTCCAAACCCGTCAGAGCGTCTGGCCCTCGTCAGCGTCTTGCAAGGAGGCGCAAAGTGGCCGTGGTCCAGCGTCTCACATACCGACAGACCCAACTCAAGGCCGTATGTTCCAACCTTCAAAATGGTCTTGTGGGTTTCTCAACCTTGCTGCTGAGCACCCTTGTGGCCTCACAGTAGCACGGTCAAGGGAGCTGTTGAGTTGGTTGCGCAGCTCAGCAGGACTGCAGTGGATGAAAGAGCGGAGCTACGTCTTGGTGGGAAAGTGGCAGAACGCGCTGGCGCTGGCTGGATCCGTGACTAAGAGAGCCAGGAAAGCGAGTGACAAGAAGAATGAGACGTTGCTTGAAAGAAGGGAACGTGAGAACAGTGTGATGCAGTCGGAGGGCTACGGAATGCAAAAAGGGCGGTGGCACGCTCGACAAGCCTTCGCAGTGTGGGTGAGCGACTATGCCTGGTGGGTGACCGCTGGATCAGTGAGGAGTTGGTCCAGGAGTTGGAGCATGACTTGAGCGGCAGGTTTTCCTTTGGGAATCATGACTGATATTGAACATAGCCATGTCTTTCCCCGGACGCATGAGGACAGAGCAGCTGTCCAAGCGTCTAGACTTGAAGGGGAAGTGATACAGGACTACTTGGGAGACATGATGAACTACAAGAGCTTCATGGATGAGTCGAGCAAGGCACAAGAGCTCATGGACCAGATGGTTGAGAAAGATCGTGCTGAGGTCTTTTCATCGTGGCAGGAGGTGGTCGACCGTTTTGGCCCGGGGGCCAGGCTGACTAAAGCCGGATGCCTGGTGAAGACCAAGGAAGACGGCGCGGTCAAGGCAAGGTTGATCTTCGATGGAAGACGCTCAGGAGTCAACGGCGTGATCGTCTGCCGAGAGAGGGTCAACCTGCCTAGTATATAGCGACGTGGTCGCCGGCGTGAGACAGCTGTTGAGCAACAACCAGTCGGCAGCAGAGTCAAGACAGGTGTACGTGGAGATGTTTGCGCTTCGGGCTCAACGATGAGTGAGGCCGCCCCTTTTTTGTGTGAGCAAGTGCATCGTCTTTGGAGTGGCCACTGGTAGGCTGGCGGCCGCAGGTATGAGAGTTGCGCTGATGTCAATTGCTACATCGATGACCCGCTGGTGATGTCAGTAGCGGCCTCGCCTCAGGAGCGCACTAGACATTTGCTGGTGTATGTGGGTCGCGGCGTAAGGTGGTCAGAGGCTGGAGCTTGAATTGGATCGGGTTCAACCTGGAGCTGTGGGCAGAGGCGAAGAAGGTCAAGCTCCTAGGGACGCTGGAGGAGCTACGAAGCTGCAAAGGCGTTATGCCTATACGCTTGTTGGGATATATGCAGTTGGAGTTCTCTTCGGCCGTGCCAGCAGCTTGCCCTTGTCTGTCCATGATTTGGGCTGCCATGGTGCTCGTGAGCCAGAGAAGCGCTCGGCGCCGGAAAGGTCTTGTCTTCGTTCGCCAGGTGGACAATGCCTTACGCTGGCTGCATGCTTTGCTGCGCCTACACCACAGTTGGGTGGGTTTGTACAAGGCGCACAAATGGAGACCCTATGCAGCTACGGCATTAGTCCAGACAAACCCTTCCCCCTTTCGTCTTGGCGGGGTGTTGGCAGTGGCAGGGCAGATGGTTGCGTATTTTGGTGAAGAGCTGCAAGCCAATGACTTTCGTCTGTTTGGCTCGGAGCGAGGTGGCCCGGCATACCAGTCAGAGTACGAGTTGTTGGCAGTGCTGGTCGCGCTGAGTCTTTGCTAGGAAGATAGCTCAAGTGGGGGCTTGCGGGTCGTGCTACGTGGTGACAACACGTCCACCTTGCACGCTGCATTGACTTACAAGGGTGGCAGCCCCATCACGACACAGTTAGCTGCGGAGATCTTCCTGGAAGTGGAGTGCCAAGCCTTGATATAGCCATCATCGCGCAGCATTTGGCAGGAACGCTGAATGTGATCCCTGACAAGCTTAGTCGGCTGCGTGTTGAGGAGGTGCCAAAGCAATTGGCTAATGTGCAAAGGCTGCCGGCCCCGGAAAGGTGCTGACTTTTACCGCGCGTGGCCTAACAGGCCGTGAACAAAGGAAAGCCCGACGTTGTCAGGTAGCTAGAGAGGGCTCTGGAAACCTAGCTAGTTGTCTGATGTTTTCAGGTCTGTGTGGGTTCCAAGGTTAGAGGAGGCTTAGTTGGTCACTGAGGAGGGCCCTTAGTGGGGGCCCTCCTCCAGTTCAAGCGGCTGGTTGTTTGGGCCTAGGCTTGGTAGGCCTTGGCGGCTTAGTGGGATGCCTAGTCCTTTTTATATAAGGAGCCCGGCGCGCTCAAGAACTGGACGCGTAACCCTTGTGGCAAGGGAGTACGTGGCCCGTCGAAGAGTTGCCATGGGGGGTGATGATCGCTGCTCAAGCTCGTTTGGGATGGCCCTCCAACCAGGAGGAAGCTGCGAGGTCGAGAACTCCAGATCGAAATGAAGGTAGGGGCCCGTCAAGTGTGTCAACCGAAACAGTCTGAGAATGGTACTTCACAGTGGGGAATTACTGACGAAGACCTGGCAGGATGCTCCATGGACCCCGATGGTTAGGAGGGACGGAGTTCGGTGTGGTCAATTGCATCTGGCCAGAGAGATATCGCAACACGATAGGAAGCGGCAGGAGGCGCTGCAGGCATATGATGCCTTGGTGTTTGCAGCCGGGACAAATCTCTCGAAGGAGTCTCTCTTAAGGCGCTTGGTGCAAAATCAGCCGAGCGCGAGGGGAAGAACCACTGCCGTTGGAATGTGAGAAGATTTGCAGTGTAGCAATTTTGCGGTGCTCTGGGTATCGAGCAGTCAAGAGCTATGTGTATGAGCCGTGATCGGCGTGTGAGAGCCGGGTTTGCGGTCTCGCCGCAACTCAATGTGGCTATACAGGATGCCAAGAGGATCGCAGAGAGAGAGAGCGTTGGGTCCAGTACAGAGAGCGGAAGAGGTCAAGCCGACTTGGTGGAAGGAATTCGTGGCAGCGCGTGGCCTGCTTGATGGTCGATGACAATGAGTCGGGTCAAGATGCCCCGAAAATGCTGGTCTCTTGACTTGGGTGGTTGGTACAAAATCTTTGCGCTGCGTGAGGTTGAATTAAGCGGCCTTACTATGGATACCATGCGTGTCCACCTCGAGACCAAGGACAAAGTGGTGACCTTGTCCTTGCCTGTCAGTAAAGCCATCCCGGCGGACGAGGAGCCAAACGCTCTTTGCGATGCACCTGCAGAGGAAGGGAGCTGTTCTGCCCCTTCACATCCCCTTTCATGCCATTGAGCAAGTCGTGGAGGAGCAGTCTCGTCGAGTAGACAGGAGTGAGCTGTTAGAGAAACTGTTGTGACAAAAGAAACATGGTGGCGGAAGCTCAAAGTTATGAGGAGTTGATGCAAGATGCAGGATTCGCAAAAGAGTGTGACAGGACGAGAATCACTGGACATTTCACGGGGGAAAGCGGCATAAAGGAGACGGCTAGAAATGGCTGCGCCTCTTCATCGATCCAGTGGTTTGCGCGCCATTCCAGTCAGGTCACATGGGCCTACATCGAGGAAGCATGGAGTGAGACACCTGCTCACGCCCTAAAACTGAGGTGTTGCCTCCCTGCTGAGACAAGCGAGTCAACTGGAAGAAGCAGAAGTCATAAGAGCTGATGGCTGATGAAGTTAAGCAAGGACTCCAAGCTGATGGCCTTTGGTTTGAGAGTGAGGAAGCCAGGAAGGCAATTGGAGATGGGGCACGAAAAGCCTTGTCGCCAAAGTTCATAGTGAAATGTTAATTCGCAGACAGTTCACGCCCCATGTCATAGAACGGTCGTTAGCATGGATCCGAGAAACTAGACCACTAGGTGCGGATGGCCATGGGTGAGCGGTGACTGTCCGTGCATGTTAATTTATGAAGGTGACGCGATCAACCCAAGCCTGAAGAGGTGCCGGAAGCGCGCCGGTGCTTCAAAGTAACGGGCTGTGTGTGGCAGGTGGAGCTAACTAGTTGTTGTTTCGCTCCCTGCGCTTTCAAGTGTTTCAAACCTGACATTTGGAAAAGCTTCTTGCTGTCAGGGTTGGTTGGGAGGGGGAGTGTGTGTGTGTGTAGTGGGGTTTCGGGGGGGGTTTTCGTTGCGGTTCTTTGCTGGGTCGGGGGCGTCACGAACACCAGGTGCAGGTGCTGGTGCTGGATCGGCGTTTTCTTGGGGCGTGATGGTGTTGGTGCTGCTGCTGCTGCTGCTGCGGCTGCGGCTGCAGCTGCGGCGTGGTTCTGGCGTGGGTGCTGGTGCTGGATCGGCGTTTCCTGGGGGCGTGCAAGTGGAGGTGCAGGAGCAGGTGTTGGGGTCTATGCCGATGTAATTTTCCTCCAGTTTCAAAACGCAAACTTACAACTTTGATGTGTCAAACCAGCACCCCCTAGGGAATCTAGGGGAAATTTAACTTACATTTTTTTAGCACCCCCTTCCCTTAATAGGTAGCGATAGAATAAGTAGTTGGAGTTCTTGGTCGAACCCGAGTCAAATGAGTGCCTGGGGGTCGAGCCCCAGAGTTTGAAGGTGCGATGCCCGCACAAGCGATGTCCTTTGCGACTGGAAGTGGCCCAGCGTTCTTCCAACGGTGCTTATGCCATTCGTATCACCGGGCTGGAGTCACCTGCCTCTCGCGCAAAGCAACCAATTCTCAACGTCCATCCCAACAGAAGGGTCACCAAAACCTGGTGCCCGACCTGTGCGAAACCACTTGAAGTCCGAAATGAAGCGGCGGAGCCACAGATGAAACGTCCAAGGGGAAAAGGGTATGCTTTTGTGGCAGTTCTCTTCGGGCCCGATCAAGATATGCTACAACGGTTTGTGTTGGGAGCTCTGGTCTTGGGGCATTCTTTGAAAGTGAGTTCAACCAGTTTTGACATGGTACTCCTACACACTGCCGATGTCATGGATGTACCTGGTGCTGGGTTGCTTGAAGTCTTTTGGAAGACACGAGAGGTGAGCTATGTGGAAGCAAATCCGAAGCTGATTTGCCAAAGCGAGAACCGCTTCCAGCACGTCTTCACCAAGTTGCAATGTTTTGGCTGCGATGACTACGAGAAAGTGGTTTTGTTGGACATCGACCTCCTTGTACGTGACAACATTGATGAGTTGAGTTCTTGCCAGCCACCGTGTGCTCTGCGGAGGGGGCACAAGGCTTTGCCCTCACATGTGGATGTCTCCTTGTCTTGCTACAACACTGAGGGTCGACAAAAGTTCGGCATGAATTTAGGAGTAGCGGTACTGAAGCCCAGCAAGGAAGAATTGGAGAAGATTCTGACCTCAGTGAAGAGCCGAGACCCAATGCATGAGGTGTGCAGCGGGCCGGAGCAAGATTTCTTGAGTCGTTGGTTCAAGAATTGGACATCAATGAATGTGAAGTACAACTACCAACTCCATCAGTTGGCACTATCCTGCGAGCACGAGGGCCCTCAAGCCATGCGTCTTCAGCTGAAATTGGAGAACGTGAAAGTTTTGCATTACAGTGGTCGGGTGAAGCCTTGGGACTTCTACTTTGATGTGAGGGCAAAGTCTTCGGAGAGTTTCTCAGCATTTTGCGAAGAGAGATTGTTGCCGGCTTACAATGCAAAAGGCAAAGAGTTTGAAGACACGGTCAGAAATGCGGCGCACGAATGGAAACAGCAATGCAAGGTTTGGCGCTCAGTTGCCACAGTCCTCAGTGCTACAGTATCCGTAGAACAAATGATGTCGGTTTTTGGGCTTTAAGTGTGTGCCACATAGGGGTTCACTGTATGAGGCATGAACTGAGATGTTTCTGTAGTTCAGTAGTTTCGAGTTCCGAAAGACCAAGGATATGTGGCAGTATGCGCTTGCCCAAACAAGCTGTGACAAATGCAAGCTTTGTGGAGAATCTCTGTTGAAGGAGATGCAGCTTGAGCATTGCTTCGTGCAATGCCCGGGGATTAGTCATCTTCGACCAGAGGCTTTGACACTGGAAGATATTCAGCATCCAGAACCTCAGGAATTCCGAAGAGTCTTGGCATTTGTGGCCAGTGTTCTTGAGCGCCACCGCTGGCAGGCTGACGATACGTTTGAAGGAACCCGGGAGAGTTCAGACCAGGGAGACAAAGAGGACACGAAGCATGGAAACCATCAAGCTGAAGCTCCGATATCTGCACCGATATCTACAGCTTCAAGCCAAAGCGAAAGCAAGACTCTTCATCTCGTATTGCACCCCCAGCCCAAAAGATCCTACGAGGATTCTCCATTGGGTCGCCTTCGGGAAAAGATCCTACAAGAAGTGGCTGACAACCGAGTCACTATCATTGTGGCGCCAACTGGATGTGGCAAAAGCACTGGAAGCTCAGTTAGTGTTTGGCAGATATTGACATGAGATTGAGATTCCATTGTTTTTCCTCAAGGTCCAAACAACCAATATGCTGCCAGCTAAGGAATTCCTCAAATGATTCTTGACGAAGACCCCTCAGAGCGATACATCTTGGTAACGCAGCCCCGCCGTGTTGCGGCCACAAGCCTTGCGCGTCGAGTGGCTGCAGATCGAGGAGTAAATCTTGGAACCGAAGTGGGTTACAAGATTGGAGGCGATGGACCTGGGCCGTGTTGCTACTTTCGTAGCCTCTTGTTACTAGTAAGGATGCTCCTAGTAGTACGGCCAGGAGCCCCTAGTAGCTTCC